AATGAGGCAATCAGTGCATGGAGGACTAAAAAGCACCTGCGAGTTCGCCATCTCATTCACACCGCTAAGTGCGACCATTCAAAAGAAGCGTTAGACCGTACCATTAAAAATCTCACTTTACAACGTCGTAAGGGAACTCGCACTCACAGAGCCGGATTCAAAATACTAGCTGATAGACTAGTGATCACAAGGGCCAAGGTTCAAGAGGAAAGACTCAGAACCTATAAGTTACCGACCAGCATCACCTATTTCTACCGTCCAGCAAGATTTCTTCCGTACCTGCGTAAATCTCACTTCCATTCGGATAGCATCGACGGATAGCTTCTGGCAACAGAGCGCTCCTGAGGTGGGGAGGCGGGGGGATTTTCTTCGATCCGATTCACCTCCATATTGAACTTGTCGAAATCCAGAAGAGAGCAGGAACCGCACACAGGACACATCATAGGTAGGGATTTGACGCGGAGAAGGGGGTAGTACCTTGGTTTTGAGGAGGAACCCGAACTCGGACACCTTTTCAATCCAACTCAACCCTAAGCTGGAAAGTATCTCCCTCAATGGAGAGTATCTCAGAGGATTGGAGTTCATCAAAGTTTGAATAAACCTAGAAATTAGAGACAGAACACTATCGGTAGGGTTTTGACGTGTAAAAGGGGGTCGTATTTCGGGTCTTAGGAGGGAACGAGTTTCGAAAACTTCTCTCTGTCGCGAAGGCATGCCTTGATGCGAGAAATCGAATGGGAAGTTAGGAAGCGAGTGGACAGACTACGCCATGTATCAGACCAACTAATAAATATTCTTCCCCCCCCCAGCAAGCAGGTCCCCAAAGTACCGGACGTATTGTTGATGCCCTACTCTTCTAGACCGAATACTCAAGGACCTTTTCAAAACCAGCAAGGAAGATTAAGATACGCCTGCACTCTACTTTATCTGTAGTAAGATACGCCTGCACTCTACTTTATCTGTAGCCGAGCGGCATTAGAGTGGGTGTGTTTGGCTGTAGAACGAAACCACTCAGCAGTCAGCTTATTGGAACCCTTTTTTAGAAGCATATCATCAATAGGAACTAGTTGGGGGTTGAGTTATTTGCGAATACAGGCCTCATCAGGAGTCCGTTGATCGAACGTGCCCACCGTTCCTCTTGTCTCAGGCAGCTAAACCAAGAACTTGGAGCATTTCCACAGGCACCTCAAACTGGTAATGTAAGGTAGATCGAAGACATGAATTTTCGAACTAGCTTTTACGACCTCGCGCATGATTCCACGGAAATAACAAGCCTTTTTTGAAACTTCGTCCCTAATTTCACTCAGCTGCTTGATATTGGCCCAATTTAGCACAAGGGAGGACTAGTGGCGTATCGTTTTTTCTACTTCGGAAATGGACTTCGAGATCGAGCGCAAATGGCCAATCCATCCACGTCCAATGGGATAAGACTGAATGGGGGGAGAAGGTGGTTAGCAGAGAGTGGCGTTGACCAGGGGGAGTTAATTATGTTGGTAATGGTGCGATGGGTGCGAGACGTTTTTATGACCACACGAAGATGCGTCCCCAATTCGAAAGGTAATTGAATGGACTATATTTTGCATTTTCTTTCCTACATCCGGATTTCTGGTAGTGTGAAATATCTGAAACATGGGTATCTTTCTCGTTTGAACACTTCTCTCGCAATCATCCTTTATCTTTTTCTTGCCCTTGTGTGGTGTTTCCTATGCGAATCGCTCCTGGTGCTTCAATCCTTGCGCAGGAGACGTCCGGTTTGTTGGGCATAAGATGGGGTTCTGCGCACTTGGGTGATGGCGTTAGAGTAATATGAAGTTGCTAGCTGCTCAGCTTCAGTTGACGACTTACTGAACCTTACGCGCTCTTTCGTCTACCCTTTGCGTTTAGTCTACCTTAGAGAAAATTCTCGCGATCAAGCTTTGCGGGTAGCAGGTGCTCAGTCATAAACCATAGCCTATAAGTAACTCCCCAGTAGAGAAAGAAGAGAAGAACATCGAGAACACTTCGAACAGAGACCTTAGTAGGTAGTAGGGGCCCTGGACGAGTTTGCAGGGCACCGGGCAGGCTCAATTAGCAAGACTCAACGTGCCACAATCCCTGACAAGAGCACAGGAAATCACCCTACGACGCTCCAGGCAACGCTATGTGCACACACAACCGCCTGTAAGCCGCTGTCTTGCAGACTGAAAGTAATCGTTGTTGCAATAATCACGTGTCTCTTTCTTCTTTGTATCAAAGTTTCGAGTGATGAAAGGTGTGTATTCTCTGCGAATGCGGAAAACGATGTCAAGTACACGGAGGCATCTCGCGGAACCACTTGATCGCGGGAACTGTCTTTAATGGCAAAACCTTCATATGTTTTTTTTTTCGGGGAGTGGGTGCTGGAGGGCTGATTTTCGTCCTGGCGGTGGCGATCTCAGCCGAAGAGGAGCACTTTCTCGACGTGAAGCAGATTGTCAAGGTGAGCTCTTCTTCAAATATTTCCGTTATTTCTCCCGTGAGACTTCTCGATCTCAGTTTATTTGCGTGTTAGGGTCGTCCGGATTTGCCAGTCCTATTCTCACCAGATGCTGATGTTTCGGTTTTATATAGAAGAGATAAACAGCCGGTAATGGTGTGCGGTGTATATTCACCCCCGTAGTGATCGTCACACATCACTCGTTTCACACTTGACCGCATCCGCTTCTAACATTGTATTTTGGCTTGAGCATATTCGTCTGGCATGTTGTTGTGGATGTAGATCACCTCAGCCCAATTTTGTACACCACTGCATTTTTTATTTGATTTTAGGGAACCATTGAGGCCGTAGCAAAGTTGCCCATACCGCAACAGAATACCAGCGCGGAAGGAGAGAAGAATCCTGAAGACTTCTACAGGTTTGCCTGCTCCTTGTTCGAGCCTCAGCTTGTTTTGTTGTTTTGAAAACGACCTCTCTAGACTGTTTCAACTGCCAGCCGACATCATGACCAAGCTGGCAGAGGATGCCGGCTATATAGATCCACGGACAACAACAAGTGGCATGCATCTTTGCGCAGAGTATTATGTTCAAAGGACGTTTCTTTGTTGTATTGATCATCCCTCTTTATACGAGCTGATAGTCTAGAAAGTGTCGGGAGTTTTTTTACACCCCGCAGAAGCGCCCTAAAGCGCTTTCATACCTTGACGGGATCGAGAGAGGGATCATTTGGTCTACCGATTCTGTTGATTTACTGGAGGAAGAACCCGAATCCGGGAAGGCGTTCTGGAGAAAGCAATCCTTCTTCTCGTGCGGAGTGATAAGCTTAGCGGCCACAATTCTGCCTCGAGGAACAACTTTGACAGATACAGCCCCTCAAAGTTTCTGATACTAGTAAGACCGTCCATTCCGCGATCCTATCTCCATCTCCCCTCATTTCTCCAAACCCCTTACAATCTTTCCGAAGTTTGTTCGCAATGCTTCTTCTATTTTCTCTCCGTACTCCCTATCCTTTCCAGGGTTTTTTTTTCCGAGGTTCCCCATTCTTTCGGTCAGGTGACAACTAAAACTTTTGATGGAGGATCCTCGCGCGAAAAACGAGAGTGCAGAGAAGCAGAGGACTGCTGCTACCAATGTGTCCAAAAGTGGAAAGAAACGCAGAAAGGTCGGCGATGGGCTCTTTCAGAGGTACGAGACTCCAGGGTGGATAAACCACTTATAGGGCATAAAATTTGGAATGTTTAAGGCCCTAGTGTACACGCAATGGCAGAAGAGAGAACGCAGAGAAAAACAGGAAAATTGCCACTAGAAGCCTCAAATCCATCTGTCTATAAACCCATTTCAAGAAATCGCCGCCGAACGGAGCGGGTGGTATGGCTCACGTAGAAAGGGAACAAGCAAAAATGTCAAAACCATAATATTTTTCTACAGTAGCAAAATACCCCCCCCCTCCCTCCAACGAGGACCGGACTTCCTCATTGGGATCCCTAGCACGTACGATGTGCCGTAGGGGTAATACCCTGGTGTCGCAGGAAGTCGCCCAGTCCAGTTAATAGTTCCGGGTACACTGCGGCGGGAGCAAGTTCAAAAATCAGCCCCGCGTTTTTTGGCGTTTGTTTGTTGAACTCACGGGTGCAGCCCAACCAGGACACTCCACTGATCCTGTTCTGGTCATAAAAGTGACCCAGGTAACAGGTTGGATAGAGGCTGCGCTGAACCATTTAAAAGGTTCGTGCGTTCCAATTTGAGCTAGTTAGTAACGTGACTTTCGGCACTGAAAGTTGCTGAACACTTCTCACCGAAAATCGACGTTGTTTTTACGAAGGGAACAGTCTTCTATCATAAAAGGGCCGAGATTCCGCGCGCTAGCATCGGAAGCGTTATCGAGGCCGGTCATCAATCTCAGGTAATACCTCGCCTCGCTGTGAAGTCAAACTTATTCGAACTGTGTGGACCTGGAATTCGCCATCGAAACAGGGATTGTCGAGTGTCACGACGCTTGGGCATTCTATGTAGGAGCGCACATATGTAGAGAAGTGACAAGATTCAGATGAGGGCCGCTCTTCGCTAACATAAAAGTCCACTGTAAGGAATGTTGTAGACTGGCTCACCTACGCTTAATACTCGTCGATTTTTACAATTACAATATCTCCAACAAGTATAGTAAAAGGAGAGACCCGTCAATGTGATTTATGATTTCAATTTGAGAGGAGTACCAAACAGTGAAGGCAGAGGTGGTTTAGTGGCAAGTGGCACGCTTACCACGCGCACAGTCCGAAGACCAAGTATTGGATCGGCTCTCGCCCGGGCCAACTGGGTTTGCTACCTCCGGGGACGGTAAACTAGTACCAGATAAGTCTGGGAGGATAAGAGCACTACACTGTACAACGGCTGGCTCCGCAGGTCGGCAACATCGCCCACAGTGAGCCACCATGATTTAGCACTGAAGCGGAATGCGCGTCGGATCCCAAAAAGGGATTGGTCAACGACGGAGACGTTATTCTTTCATCCTTTACAGAAATGGTCAGAAAGTTTGGCGCAGTTTGGTCTGGTGGGGCATGTACTTGGCGACACTAGTGCACTTGTGCAGTCCTGTAATGTTCTGCCACCAAAGCGACTCAATCATACCATGTGGGAACTTCATAGAAATTCACATGTCTTACCAAAGTGTATCCCGTTAATTTGCACGAACTAGGAAGAAAACGAGCGAAAGTGCATGATGCCCCTCCTAAGCCAAAGCGCGGGAAGTCCTTTCTTAGTCGGCCCTTGTAAACGTGTTTTTTCTGCAACAAAAAGTTACACTTCAGGAAAGTTCATAGGAGCGAAGAGGATGAAGAGGAAGACAACAACCAGGTGAGCGATCGAGAAGTTCTAGTCTTTCTAGAACTTTTTATATTAACTGCTACTGCAGGATGGTTCCGAGGAGGAAGAGGAGGAGAAGCCGAGAAAGAGAAAGAAGCACAGCAAGAAGGATCCGACATTGATTTCAATCCGAGAGTAAGCTTTAATTCAGGTTCACTCATTTTTGAACTGACAGAAGCTCTTTTCCAGTATTTTGTCGAAAGTCGATCAGGTACCTTCCACAACACCTATACCTTTGCCATTGCCTCCCACACCTATTCAATCAGGA